AGTTTAAAAACTACTCCGGTACGGTCGTTTTATTTCTAGTAACCTATTCCATGGAAAGTATATTTGTCCCATGATTTACCTACAGTGACGTTCGTAAGATCATTACTAAACAGCAAGTAACCCAATGTTTCACACCAGATTGGTTAGGCATGCTCCAGTTCAACCCTTAAGGCAAATTCACCTAAGGTGCTCAGGCCAAAATTCTAGGACTGATTGTGGACTGCTTTCTCTCCATCACCCCTCACAACCAACTCATTCTGTCCAGTCGACCTGGCCTTCATACGCATCCTAAAGCTCTTCATTTCTCTCTACCTTCTCTCTACCACTACTGCCCAACCCAAGCCATGGTCCACTCTCCTCACCTATACTGGTCTTACTGGTACCACTCTTGCTTAACTGGAGTCACTTCACACAGCATCCCAAAGGTCAACTTTTAGAAAGTAAATCCATTCATGTCAGTATCCTAATTAAAACCTTCAATAGCTTTCCAGTGCCCTTAAAATAAAATCCAATCCAATTCACATTTTCCAAATTTTCTACAAGGCAGAACTCCAATCTAGGCTAGAAAAAGCTCCTTTTTGATGACCACACTGGGGGCACCCGGGTGGCTTAGTTGGTTAGGTGTCTGCCTTTGGCTCAGGCCATGATCTCAGAGTCCTGGGATCAAGCCCCAGGGGAGTCTGCTTCTCCTTCTCCCCCTCCCCCATCATGCTCCTGCACTCTCTCCTCTCAAATAAATAATCTTTAAAAAAAAAAAAAAAGACCACACTGGAAGAATGCTCAGATTCAGCTGTGCATGTGGCCGAAGCATACTGTTAGGGGACACCTTATTCAAGTCACAAATAGTTCCTGGGGCGCCTGGGTGGCTCAGTCAGTTAAGCGGCTGCCTTTGGCTCAGGTTCTGATCCCAGGGTCCTGGGATGGAGCCCCCAAGTCCAGTCGGGCTCCCTGCCCAGCGGGAGTCTGTTTCTCCCTCTGCCCCTCTTCCCTGCTCATGCTCTCAAATAAATAAAATCTCAAAAAAAAAAAAGTCACAAATAGTTCTCTTCCAACACCCATGAAAACCCTCAGACAAAGAAACCAGAAAAAGTAAGATGTTGTAGAGTGGACCTGTGGAATCAAGAGATGCCCCAAACTGGTCAGACCCTTTGATGTGGTTTTGGAATGTAAGCGAGGTTTGGGGGGGTGAGGTCTGGATCGGAAGACCAAGAAAGGAGTCGTCTTTGGTGCAAAATGGTGGTTTATTAAAGCACTGGGACAGGACCTGTGGGCAGAAAGAGCTGCTGCACCTGGACCTTGAGGAGTGGGGATTCTATACTCTCAGGAGTTGGGGGAAGTAAGGAAAAGGGAGGTTTCAAAAGAACTTTCATATGCTAAAGAGGACCCACCTACAAGACACCTACAAGATACCAGAGGCCATGCCATTGTCAAGTTAAGGTTGTTTTCCCCTCTAGCAAGGTATTAACATGAAGACAGCTAGGAGATTCCTGGAAGAATGTCACACATGTCCCACCCAGGAGTGGGGGGGGTGGGGGGCAGGTTGCAGGGTGTCAGGTTATGCTTTGTCTTCAGCCAGCCTTCTGCTCCCTCATCACCTTGACCTGGGCTATACCCAGGGTCTTACCAAGCTAGGAAAAAAAAAAAAAAAGAACAGAGACTATTCTAGAAATCCTATAAGCCAAGACACTCTATAATCTACACAAAGGTTAACTATTAAAAGTTGTTTTAGATACCTTGTTCAATTCTGTCAAGTCTCTCGAATACAACCTTTCTAGCTCCAAGGCTCAGAAGTTATCACTCTTACATAAGAAAAGACACACATTTATACTTAAAGAATACAAAAACAAAAACAAAAACAAAAACCTGAGCCCTCTGAACTAGGTCATCTTTTCAGAGAAAAGAGGCTCAGGCCATAGTCTAATTTGAAATGCTGGTCCCATCTGCAAACCCCAGCAAGAGCTGCAGTTAATATTAATTAAGAGCAGAAACAGGTTTGTTCTTGAACATCCTTTCTCCCAATCAAGTCCAGGATGCTTCCAAATGGAAATCTGCCAATTTTCCTGCACTTGAGACAGTAGATCCAGTACAGAATAATGTGATTTTTTTTTTTAAATGTCACTATTTGTCCAACCCTTAAAGCAGGATTCTCACATCCTTTCAGAGGGAGGTTTCAGTCACCATCACTCAACAGACGAGATAAGTTTTAATAGGACTCACTACTAAGTGCCAGCCCTGTGTGTGCATGCACATGCTTATACACATGTATGCACACACACAGAAAAGCTAATAGTCCTTAGGACAGAGTGTAGGACCCCCTCCTGGCAATCTATGAGAACTCTCCCTTCTATTTACTCATGCAAAGTACTAAAGAAAACCAAAGAGAACCAAAGATTTGGTTTCTGATTTGGTCTTCATTTTTTTTTTTTTTAAGATTTTATTTATTTGAGGGCACCTGGGTGGCTCAGTCGGTTGAGCGACTGTCTTTGGCTTGGGTCATGATCCCGGAGTCCCAGAATCGAGTCCCATGTCCAGCTCCCTGCTCGGCGGGAAGCCTGCCTCTTCCTCTGACCTTCCCCCACTTCTCATGCTCTCTCTCTCTCTCTCAAATAAATAAAAATCTTAAAAAAAAAAAAAAAGATTTTATTTATTTGAGAGAGAGCAAGCAAGCACAGAGGGAGAGTGAGGGGGAGAAGCAGACTCCCCGCTGAGCAGGGAGCCCGATGTGGGGCTTGATCCCAGGACCCTGGGATCACGACCTGAGCCAAAGGCAGACACTGAACCGACTGAGCCACCCAGGCGCCTGGGTGTGGGTCTTCATATAAAGTCTTTGATTAAATCTCAGCCTGCACTGCTCCAGGCAGATGAGGCAGTGCCAATGGGTGACAGCTATCTTGAGGCTAATCTGATCCATAGTAAACACAAACTTTTACCATAAATCGAGGCTAATTAAACAGAATGGACTCAATTACTGGAGGTTATCTGACTTCTGAGTAGCAGACAGAATTCGTGACCCATGCCTCCAACATAGACTTGAACTCTTTTTATGCACAAGGTACTTCGCCATCCATATCCCTGACCCTGAAGTCTCTTCATCGGGAACTGGAACATGGTGAAGGCAGAAGGGACAACAAGGGGCACATGATTATCTTAAATAGTGCTACAACCCCCAGTACCTTGAACACTGTCTGACACATAACAGGTACTCAGTAAGTATCTACCGGATGAATCAGACATTTGCTGCACTGCATGTGAGAGCATCAACAAGTTATGTGCAGAGTAAAGAAATGAATTCTGCCAGGGCAGACGAGGGAAGGCTTCCCAGAAGCAGTGAGGAGCCCTTTCCAGGATGAGCAGCTTTTCATTTTCAGCAGGCAGTGGCTGCAAGAAAGCCATGTGGACAGGAGTATGCCAGAAGCAAGGCTGGAGGAGATGGCCTGAGATACTTTCCAACTCAAATTCCCACCAACATTTTATCTCCTGGGGTTTTGTCATGCTTCATCATCTCCTTCAAACCTTCAACTTTAATAAAGGGGGTACATACAGAGGGGCTGCTGTGTTTCTCTACCAGAAAATTAGCTAAAAGCAAACAGAAGGTAACAGAAAAATAAATACTGTGGAATGTTTTCTTATTTACCAGGCACTGAGCCTGTAAGACTCTTCGAACCTTCTGTGAGAAAATCTGAGAACACCCTCCAAGTCCACCAGAAACAAGCCACTTTGAAAACAAATTGCTGCCCTCCATTTTTCTTCTCTTTCACTGATAAACAGTTTTTAAATTGGTTTATGCAAAAACTACTTGGTTCCCAAGAGAAAAAGAAAATCTAAACACTTCATAGTCACAGTCTTACAGCAGGGAGAAACTCTGGGAGAAAATGAAGGCACGTGAAAGAGAACAGAAACTAAAATCCAAAAACCAGGGAAAGTTTAAAAAAAAAAGTGAGAGTAAGGGAAAACAGCAACTGGAAAGTTTTCAAAACCTCTATGAAAGTTCGGAAGTAAGCTGCTTCCCATCACATTCTCTTTAAAAATGGAAAGGGCACTAATCCAGTTTGGGACGGACAGGGTGCAGTCCCTCATGCCAGAATGAAACCAGTCCCCCGAGTCAGGTATAGAGAATGCTAAGAAATGGGCTCAAAGCCACCGCACCCTTTCCTCCCATCACCAAACCTCCTGGCTCCCTACCTCAGAGAAACCAAAGCCAATTACAGCCCCTCTCACACAGCTCTTCCCCCAAACTGCATTCCGAAACAAAAAGAATAAAATGCAGCTAAATGTGGTATTAAAATTAAAACAGACCCAATTGAGGTGAGAGAAAATTCAAGGTGCAACCGGGTACACAGAACTTTTCCTTCTGAGAGATGGGGGGGCGGGGGGGGGAGGAGGCCGAGTCTTTTTGAGAATCAAAATAAAATCTTGCTTTTGCAATAGCTGAAGAGATAATGAATAAAACTCTGCCTTGGAGAGGCTTCTTAATTCCTAGCTTTTACGCTGTTTTTCAGCACGGTCCTCCGCCCACCTCTGCAAACTGATCTGTGCTTCTGTAATGAAGATCTCCGGATAATTAGCCCACCGATGGGCAAATAACCACCCTGGAGACCGCTGAGGGCAGCAGCGAAGGTAAAGCACCCCGTTTGCAATAACAAGTTTTCATGAAGGAGTTGCTAATTATGAGCATATATATGCATCCCAGAAGGGTTATGTACCAGCAGCGCAAACTGCCACCTCGCGCCTTTTAATGCCAATTCATCGGGAACTGGGGTGGACGTGGGGCGGAAGGAGAGGGGTGAAGAGCCCTACTGAAAGAGTAAGCGATCAGGCGATCTGCATCCCCAAATCCACGACGCCAGCCAAGGGAGGCTTTCTCAAGAAGCCATTTCCAGGGAAGCTGGATTTAAAATGTAATTTATCAGATCGAGTCTCCTACTACGGAGTCTCCTAACGGCCAGGCCCCGGCTTGGGAAGGAGGGCCAGGGAAGGAGGGGGAGTTCGTGGTGAGAGTTTACCTTAGAAGGCGGCCGCGGACAGACAGGCCTTTCAAAGCCACCGGGGCTCTGCCCCAAGGCCCGGGGCGGCGCGGAGGGGCAGGAATAGCGCACGGCTGCGAGCCCTGCGGTGCCACTGGTTCCCCAGCGCGCAGTGGGACCCGACTCCCACAGGTAGGCGGCGAGAGCAGGGGGCGCCCCAGTTCCCTGGGGGCGCGAGGGAGGTGTGGGCAGAGAGGGCTTTGCCTTAAAGAAGCAGGGCGAGAGGGAAGCTCGGGGTTTTTCGGCTGTCTGGGTGGTTACCCTTAGCTGGATGGTTACCGGCTCTTCCCCAAGACAGGAGGAGCCCGGGCGGAGAGAGGAGTCCCATGCACCTCCCACCCTCCTCCCTGCGAGCCTCGGCCTCCTCCAGGAGCGCGGTTAAGCCGCACGGCCGCGGGCCACCGTTTGCATGCTCCCAGGCACGTAGGAGCCTGCACGACCGCACGCGGGCGGGGGAAGGGCGCCCGGGGGCCGAGGAGACCCGACCCAAAGCGATCCCGCTACGGCTCACCCCCGCACCCCTCACCGGTATTGGCTTTGATGTTCTCCCGCAAGAAGTGGCCGCTGGAGAGATGCTGGAGGCCAAAGCTCTGAGCGATCCTCTGGCACACGGTGCCTTTGCCCGAGCCGGGCGGTCCAAGGATGACCGCGCGCAGGAGTTTGGAAGCCATTGCCTTCGCCAGGCAGGGAAGGGGCGGCCAAACAGGCAACCCGGACAGCAGCCTCGGAGAAGCCCCGGGAACTTTGTTGCTGCTGCTTCTGCCTCTGACACTCTCCGCTCGCGCGGGTACTCGCCGGGCGCCCCTGCAGGGGGAAGGAGTGACTTTTGAGACAACCCCTCCCTTCAGCCCCGCGCCGGGGCCGGCTCGAAGGCGGAGAAAGGCGCCACGCTACCCATCCCCGCCCTCCTCGCCCCCACGCCGCGATTCAGTACGAGTCCCGAATCCCCGGGTCGACCTCAGGGGCTCGGAGGGCCGCCCGGCCAGGCCCACCTCGGTCCCTTCCTCTTTTGCTCCCCACGGCGTTCGAGGAAGGGACCAGGCGGCCTGGCATCCCCGCGCCAGGCTCCACCGAGGGGGAAGCCGGGAGGGGCGGCGACTCCACGCGCGCGCCTCGTCGCCCCACGCACCGGGCGGCCTGGGGGCTGAGCCCCTGCCCCGGCCCTCGCACGTGGGCAGCGCTGAGTCTGCGCCGCGGCCCCTCCCCAGCGGCTGTCAATCCCCCGGAGTCGCCACCGCCCGCCGCCCGCGCGGACCGCCCAGCGCCCACCTCCGCCGAGGGTGAACCAATGCGCTCCCCGCCGCGGGGAGCCCGAGTCCGGTCGCCTCTCCACCCCAAGCAGTCAAGTAAACACACACCTCGGCTGGGACGCGGCGCTCCGCGAGGCTTCCAACCCGGATCCCGCTGGGCGGCGCCACCTCCGCCCGCCCCCACTCCGAGCCCCAGCCGGCCGCGCGGGACTCGCGCCTTACGTAAGCCGGGGAGACCGGCTCCGCGCGAGTCGCCGGCCGGCGCCCCCTCCCCTTCCCGCCGCTCCGCTCCCACCCCGCCCTCCCGGCCCACGTGCTCCCCACCACCCAGCGGGGGCTGTGGGGGCGCAGGGACACACCCTTCTCTTGCGGTTGCCTGGGGACCCCGTCTACTGTTGAGGGGAAGGAAAAATACAACTTGTTGATCGCCTACTGTGCGTCAAGTTCAGGGCTAGGCGATTTCCTTACGCAACAACCGTTCCAGATAGAGTATTCACAGATGAGGAAAGGAGGCTTGGCGTATCGCCGTTCATTCAGCAAATGTTTATTGAGCTTATACCATGTTCCAGACACTGTTTTAGGCGCTTGGCATATAGCTGTGAACCCAAGAGATGGATGGAGGTTTGAACCCTCAGCTGCCTGACTCCAAAGCCCAGGCTCCTTAGGGAAGAGGGAAGGAGGGGATGATCTCTAACCTGTGCTCAGGTTCTTAGAGCGAACTGATTTCAGCACTTCAGGGCCCAGGATGTTTGGCACTACAGTTATAACTCACCAAGTCCAAAGGGTGCTATCTCCTCCCTCCCCTCCCCTGCGTATCCCACTCCATATTCTCTTAAATCTGTTCCTACCCACCCAGCCACCCCCCACAGCCTTCATTTCCCACTCGCGCTAGTGTGATAACTGCCAGCCCTTAAGTCTCTAGCTTCCGCCGGTCCATCCTCAGTGCAGCCACCAGAGACGTTGCTAACGTGCAAATCAATTTCTGTTATTTCCCCACCTCAGATAAAAATCGTCCCTTCTTCAGGAGAAGAGCCTCCTCTAGAGTCCTGGCTGCACTGTTGGGGGGCGGGGGGCGAGTAAGAGCCTGGCAGAGTATTTCTTTCTCTCTGTCCCTGACATCCCCAGACCCTCTCCTCCAGTACCTCCTCCAAAGACAGCCAGCCAGACAACGCCTAGTCTCCATCTACCTGAGAGCACATCCAGGCCACCAACCTCAGCTCATCATTTGTTCAATAAGCTCATTCCCTTGTCTAAAATATCTCAGAGTTTGCTGTAGACATCAGGAGGTTGTTACACTGAGCCCCTTCAGCCCTCCACCTGGGAACAAAGAGGAGAGCTTCCGTGAATGTGGGGGTGACTTAAATCTCCCCTCCCTTTCCCTCCATATGCTGTGCAATATATAGTAGATACGTTGCAGTCCTCCTCAGACCTGAGCATGCATCAGAATCACTCAGAGGGCTTGTTAAAACAGATTTGCGGAGCCCCTCCCCAACAGTTTCTGAATCTGTGGGTCTGAGGTGGGCATTTTTTTAAATTTATTTGACAGAGAGAGCGAAAGAGGGAACACAAGCAGAGAGAGTGTGAGAGGGTGATCCCAGGACCCCAGGATCATGACCTGAGCCGAAGGCAGACACTTAACGGCTGAGCCACCCAGGCACCCCAAGGTTGGCATTTCTAACAAGTTCCCAGGTAACGCTGAGGCTGCCAATCTGAAAATCAGCCCTTGAAAAGTGTGGTTTCCACACTCTGAAAACCTGCAGCTCTGCTGCATTGAGCTTCATTGAACACATGGGAGATATGTGGCCTCATGGTTCATCTGCCTGCTCTGGGAACTTTGGCCCTTAACCTCTTCTTTTTCTAAAATGAGGACATTGGATTTACTATTCCCAAAGGTCCCTTTGTATCCATCAAGCATTGATTCTGTGAGTTCCCACAGGAAATAGTTCCTAGCCCTCACAAACTAGATGAACTATATCCCACCTTCCCTATCACCCAGTTCTTTTGCCTACTTTTTGGAAATGTGTTTACCAACATCACCTTATAATTTCTTGGAGCAGCATTAGTCACTCACGCGGTCGTAGGACTTAGTGCTTTAGGAGTTTAGGAGCTTATATTATGAAACAAAGAGTTGTGACGTAGGTAAACTGAATAAAGAAACCCAGCCGAGATTGGAAGGAGCCCTCCATGAACCTTCGCCATGCACAGCCAAATCAGGCTCCTACAGTCCAGCAGCTGATTGGAAGCAATAGAACTGGAAGAAATGGGTTTTGGAGTTTAACACCCCTGGGATTAAATTGCAACAGCACCATTCACCACCTCTGCAAGTCTCTTCATCTCTGTGAGCCTTGGTTTGCTGATCTGTAAAAGGGAGCTAATACTTATTTCTTAGGCTAGTAGGGAGGCTTAAATGAGCTAAGGTATATATTGGATTCAGCACAGTGCTGGGCATATAATAAGTACTCAGTGGTGAACATCATCACTATTATTAACCATGGGACAGTTATTTAGCTCCTCTGATTTCAGTTCCCTAATTGTGAGGAATAAATGAGCTAATGTGACAAAGTATTTCGCAGACTCCCTGGCCCTTGGGAAATACTCCATAAATGGTAGCTATTTTTATCACACATACACTCATTTAATCAACGTCTTCCTATTTCCTTTGCCTGGGGTTTTATTTTTTTTTATTTTTTTTTAAGATTTTATTTATTTATTTGACAGAGAGAGACACAGTTAGAGAGAGGGAACACAAGAAGGGGGGGTGGGAGAGGGAGAAGCAGGCTTCCCACTGAGCAGAGAGCCTGATGTGGGGCTCAATCCCAGGACCCTGGGATCATGACCTGAGCTGAAGGCAGACGCTTAATGACTGAGCCATCCAGGTGCCCCTGCCTGGGGTTTTAAATCTGTTTATAATATTTATCACAGTGTACAAAGTAATATATATTTATGTGTTTGTCTCCCCTAGATACAAACTGTAAACTCACTCTAAGAGGAGGGGCCAAATTTTATTCATCTTTCTATCCTCAAAAATATACAGCACTTTGCCGTAGTAAGTGCTCTGTTAATGTTGGCTATTCTCCACCCCCCCCAACCACACTCGATGTCAAGCCCTGGCGTCTCTGGGCAACTTCACTGGGTGGTAATGCAAAGTCCACGTTTGATCTCACTTTACACATCCCTTACATCAGATTCTCTTACCTGGACTGCCGTGCTCCTGTTTAGTAAGCGTTCGTCATTTCCGTATCACTGTCACAGTTTTGCCATAACCTTGTACCACCTTGGTTCTTATCCACTTATCATGTTTCTTGAAATATTGACTCAGTTTGTTTAAATAATTTATTTAAAAAACTGAATGTAACTCACTAACCATAAATAAGAGGACACACTAAAATAAATATGAGAAAAATAAAAGAAGGTTACCAAATTGTAGCTGGAATCTACTAAAGTCACTCGTGTGCAGACCAGGTTGGCTCCCTCAACAGCCAGATACTTATGAAAGGCTCTTCCCACTAGGACTTCCCTCTCAGGAATCTCTACAGGTTTTAACTTACAGCTTCCCTTCCTGAACCTGCCAGTTCATCTATCAGTATCCTGCTGCCAACCAACAGCCACATCATTGCTGTGTCCCAGGTTTTGGTCTTGCTGCCAGACCCATTTGATCTGACGCTTGGCTCGCTGTTGATCTGGCTCCCGAATGGCATTCCCACTGTTCTTCACCATGGCCACAGGCCAGCCTGCCAACTCTAGGGTCAAGTTCCAACTATCCTCACCTGCCACCACCACCTCTCTACCACAAATGTGGCTAGTCCCAAACTGGCAAGTCCCAAACGTGGCTCTCAGATCCCCAACCCAGATCATAGGCCCCACTTGTCTGAGAGATCACCAGGGACAAATCATTCTGAGGGACAAACCAAAAAGGTATCATTTAAAAGACGTGTCTTGGGTGCCTGGGTGGCTCAGTTGGTTAAGCGACTGCCTTCGGCTCAGGTCATGATCCTGGAGTCCCAGGATCGAGTCCCACATCGGGCTCCCTGCTCAGCAGGGGGTCTGCTTCTCCCTCTGCCCTCTTCCCTCTCGTGCTCTCTGTCTCTCATTCTCTCTCTCTCAAATAAATAAATAAAATCTTTAAAAAAAAAAATAAAAAATAAAAAAAATAAAAGACGTGTCTTGTTGGAGAGCTGTACAGAAGAACCAGAAGAGAAACAAAGGTCAGAAATGTGCTCACCAGTTTAAGAGAAACTGATTCAGCAAAATTCTAAGCAAGGAAGGGCAAGTTAGCACAAGGGTTAAGAGGATGGACTCCAGAGACAGATCGACAAGTTCAGTCTTCAGCTCAACTGCTTACCAGACGTGTGATGTGTTCCTTAATCTGTGCTTCATTTTCTCCACCTGAAAAATGGGAATAGGAGCAGTTTCAATCTCATAGGTTGTTGTGCCTACATGAATTAGTATATGCAGAGGCTTGGAACAACGCTTGGCGTGTGGTACGCATTATATAAGCTTAAGTTTCATTATTATTGGTTCTTCAACCCCACAAAGCGCAACGTGCTTCATGCACTAGAGGCAGGTTCTTGGAAGAATTAAGCCTTGCCAGACAAATTTATTCTACTACTAGGGCTACCCTCGTGTGATTTGTGTGTGTAATTTGTTTTCACATAGACTTTCATATATTAAAAAACAGCTGTCTTGGGGCGCCTGGATGGCTCAGTGGGTTAAGCATCTGCCTTCGGCTCAGGTCATGATCTCTGGGTCCTGGGATCCAGCCCCGTGTTGGGCTCCCAGCTCGGCAGGGAGTCTTCTTCTCCCTCTCTCACACACACTCTCTCTCTCTCTCTCTCTCGCAAATGAATAAATAAAATCTTTTAAAAAATAAAAATAAAAACCAGCTGTCTTGTCCCATCTGAAGCTTCTCTCTTTATTATTTTTTGAGATTTTATTTTATTTTTTATTTATTTGACAGAGACACAGCAAGAGAGGGAACACAAGCAGTGGGGAGTGGGAGAGGGAGAAGCAGACTTCCCACCGAGCAGGGAGCCCGATGTGGGGCGGGAGCCCAATGCGGGACACCATCCCAGGACCGTGGGACCATGACCTGAGCCGAAGGCAAACAATGACTGAGACACCCAGGCGCCTCCCCCCCTTTTTAAAGAGCTTCTCTCTTTTTTTAAGTTTATTTATTTAAGCAATCTCTACACCCAATGTGGGACTCGAACTCATGATCCTGAGATCAAGAGCCACATGCTCTACTGGCTGAGCCAGCCAGGCACCTGGAAGCTTCTCGCTAAATATTCTGAATTACTCGGCCATTCCTTAAGTAATGTGGTATCCTGCTAGAAACTAGCACGCCAGTGTGTTTTTTGCTGCTTAAGTAAGAAATACCAGAAAGCTCTCCTGTTCAGTCTCAAAAGATTTATAGATAGGTAACATATGGAAAGAATTTTACCTTCTTAATGGAATATAATAATAATAATAGCTAATATGTATTGAATATTACTGTGCCATCTACTAGATCTCATTTTGCACTATGCAAATTCCTGGGAGTTAGATGAGCCACAGAGGATCCCCAAAGAGGATGACACGGGACTTTCCACATAGTAGATTATATTTCTGTCCATGAAATGTTCTGATTTCCCTTCATGAAACAGCCCCCCCCAATCCTGTTATCTCAAGAGTGGCCACATGACTTACTTTGGCAAATGAAAGCAGAAACTTTAAGAGCTGGGGTTCCCATTGTCCCCTTTCTCTTTGCACAATGGCCAGCAAAATGGCTTAGGTCCCACAGTAAGGATGACCTCACCTCCCTACAAAAGACTGAACCATAATGGACGTGTAACATGAGCAAAAAATAAATTTTCATTGTTGTAAGCCACCAAGATTTTTGAGGTCAGTTATTATCCCAGCATAAGTTAGCCTATCTTGACTCTTACATTCTCAGTCTTTGATGCTAAATGTTGTACAGAAGTCTTATTGATTATATTCATATAATATGATTCAGAATCCCTTCCCACACTGGGTATTCTTTGGATGAATATGTTCCTTCTAAGGTGCCATACACAGCAACACCTAAAGCATTCCAGATGTAGTCTGATAAGCAGTCTCTTCTTCTGGACACTATTTCTTCTGTAACAGGATAGTATATATATATATTTTTTTCTTTTAGCTTTATTGAGATATAACAGACATATAGCACTATGTAAGTGTAAGGTATATACAGAGCATCTTGACTTGACTTACATATATTGTAAAATGATTATCACAATAAGTTTAGCTAACATCCATCATTTCATATAGGTGCAAAAACATGTATTTTTCCTTGTGATGAGAACTTTTAGGATCTACTGCTTTGACAACTTTCAAATATACCACACGGCAGTGTTAGTTAATAGAGCAAGATAATATTTTCCCATATTTCAACCCATGATCCTTCTCCCTCTTCATGTAATAGCTAAGGAATTTTATGCCCATCACCTTAGAAAGAAATAATGCAGCAGAAGAGAGAAACCAAGCTTTGAGTTTTGGGCTAAGCCCCCAGAAATGGAAAAAATGCTTGTGTTTGTATAATACAATTGAGTTGGGAGTTTGTAAATGGTTGAAGGCTTCCTACTCTCCATAGCGTGGACTAGGAAAAATCTCCTAGGGGTGCAGCTGGGTGGCTCCATTGGTTAAGGGTCTGACTCTTGGTTTCAGCTTGGGTCACGATCTCAGGGTCATGGAATTGAGCACCATGTTCAGCGCAGAGGCTGCTTGGGATTCTTTCCTTCTTCCTCTCCCACCCCCTCTTCCCCTCCTCCTCCTGCCCCCACCCTGCACTCGTGCTCACCTGTGCTCATGCTCTCACTCTCTCTGAGAAAGAAAGAAGGGAAGGGAAGGGAAGGGAAGGGAAGGGAAGGGAAGGGAAGGGGAAGGGGAAGGGAAGGGGAAGGGGAAGGGAAGGGGAAAGGAAGGAGAAGGGAAGGGGAAACGAAGGGGAAGGGAAGGGAAGAAAAGGGGAAAGGAAGGGGAAGGGAGGGGGAAAGGAGGGGGAAGGGAGGGGGAAGGGAAGGGAAGGGAAAGGGAAAGGAAGGGAAAGGGAAAGGGAAGGGAAGAAGGGAAGGGAATCTCCTGGGCTGGAGAGAGGGGAGAGTCAGAGGAGAATTTATTTATTTTTTATTTTTTAAAGATTTTATTTATTTGTCAGAAAGCAAGTGCACAAGCAGGGGGAGCGGCAGGCAGAGGGAGAAGCAGGCTCCCCACTGAGCAAGGAACCCAATGTAGGACTCAATCCGAGAACCCTGGGATCCTGACCTGAGTTGAAGGCAGATGCTTAACTGACTAAGCCACCCAGGTGCCTTCAGAGGCGAATTTAAGTGGAAATGATTCCTTGGAAAAAAAGGACATGCACACCTGTTTACTTCCCAGGACTGAGCCCCAGCATGGAGGATAAAAGCAGATAGGCTGGAAAGATCCAAATCCAGAGGTTTGTATCCCCTTTCCCAGGCAGGACCTAGAGAAGGGGCAAGACTCCAGAGTGAAGTGTATCACGTACTGAATCTGGTCTACAAGCAGGTCTTGTTTGGCAAGCACAGAATTTTTAAACAATTTGGTTTTGAATGACTTTGAGGGGAGCATGCCCTCTCCAGGTTCTTCTGTCCTTACTCCCTATTATCTTACACCTGGTCTACTATACCGACTTGCCTCTAAAGGCATTTGAGTTCAAAATCCCTGACTTGCCTCTAAAGGCATTTGAGTTTAAAATCCCAGATGGACATGAAAAAAATCTCACATGATTCCCCATATGCCTCAGCAGAGTAATTCCATTTACTCAAGAGGGTGGCATGAGAAGGAGAGAGGGACAGGTCTCCTGTGACTGAAAACCAGATGTAAACAATGGTGTCTCAGTGAATGCTGATGAGGATGGGTGACAACCAGACCAGGATGCTTCCTCAAAGTTACGCACTTCCAAAATCCCAGTCTCCATCAAAACTGGGGCAAAGCCTAGAGACACAGATTTGACTGAAATGAAGTTTTTACCACTGCCAAAAGTTTGGAGTTCGACATTGTGGTTGGCTCCTCAGCATCTATTCCTTTTCTCTCACTGAGTACCAGCAATGAAGGTTGAGGAACTGACCTTGACTCCAGTGACGTACCTGATTAGTCCAAGAGAATTTCAATTACCCCTTGCTATTAATTATAATTCAGGAATGGATAAGTGACCCAAATCTGAGCAATTCTGAGGAAGCAATTGCGTGGAAGTTTCTGGGAAGGTTCACAGTAACCAATGGGAATCAATCATTCATTCTTTCAAACAAGATGTCTTTGTAGCCCAATTGTTTTTGACAGCCACCCTATAGTCATGAGGGGGACTAGCATTAGTTTGAGGCCAACAGTGTGGATGGCAGAACAGAAAGATGAAAAGAACTTGGTCCTTGATGACATAATTTAGCCTCTATACTAACCCTGAATTCTTCCCTACTTTTTTGACTTCCTCTTACATTAGCAAATAAATTCTTTATTATTTAAGCCAGAGTGAGTTGGATTTTCTATTGCCTGCAGTTAAGGCATCCTGACATAGGCTCATAATAAATATTAATTTTAGTCATAGAAAAATTTTAAGACCAGTCTTCTTTTTTTTAAAAAGATTTATTTATTTATTTGAGAAAGAAAGTATGCACACATGCATGTGCATGGGGGGATGCGGAGGGAAAGAATCTCAAGCAGACTCCCCATTGAGTGCGGAGCCCATTGTGGGGCTCCATCTTACAATCATGACCTGAGCTGAAATCAAGAGTCAGAAGTTTAACAGACTGAGCCACCCAAGTACCCCAGTCATAGAAAAATTTTAAAGTTACAATTTTTCACATTGTGGTTGAAAGACCATGACTCTTTTTGCTAAAATTTCATATAATCTAAAATTGAAATTGTTGCTTTTTTTTTTTTGGCAAACCCAGTATTACTTCCTACTGACATAAAACTCTGAAGATATTTTTCATAATTGTTTATGGATAATCACAGGAAACTAGACAGTTCCTACTCTCTGCCTTATTCATTCATGTAACAGTATTTATTGAGTGCCTACTGCATGCCAGGCACTGAATAAGCTCTGATAACACAATGGTGCTTATAAGAATCCCTATTTTCATTGACTTACAGAGTATCAGATACAAGGAATTCAGATTCAGAAGGTTTAAATGCTTCTGTCAGGAACCATTTATTTTTTTTAATTTTTTTAAAGATTTTATTTATTTATTTGACAGAGAGCAAGCACAAGTGGGGAGGGTGGCAGAGGGAGAGGGAGAAGCAGGCTTCCCGCTGAGCAGGGAGCCCAATGCAGGGCTCAATCCCAGGACCCTGGGATCATGACCTGAGCCGAAGGCAGAGGCTTAACGACTGAGCCACCCAGGCGCCCTGTCAGGAACCATTTAAATGAAAGAAAGAGATTGGGTTATATTCTCAGATGAAGGAGAATTGTGAGAAAAGGAATTGGATGTGAGTTGTTTCTTTGAGGGGTGATCCTCAAAAGCATGGTGAGGGAGAGGAAAAGTGAAAAAGGAAAGGATGGAAAGCCAACAGAGTATATACAGTGGGTCACTTCTGTGGGCAAATGGTGCTCATTCTGAATGACTGCGTGGAATACACCTCAGAATTGTCCTGGAACATTAGTCCACCAACTTGTTTTTCATTGGTAGAAGGTTGCTCTGGAGGCAGAAAGACATGGAGCTGTCTGCACACAGGGATTCTGCAGGTGATCTCACAGAAGGGTTATAGGGCTGTGGGTGAGGAACCAACAGCTCTGCTATGCTAGCAGAGGGCCAGGCATGTGGTAAACCCTGGATAAATACATAAAAGAAAAGAAAAGGGGAAATCATTAAGTCTTGTCTAAGAGAGACAAGGGAACCTATCCAGAGAGACTAATAATTCATCTTTTTATTAAAGATTTTTATTTATTTGGGTCACCTGGATGGCTCAGATGGTTAAGCGTCTGCCTTTGGCTCAGGTCATGATCCCAGAGTCCTGGGATCAAGCCCCGCATCGGGCTCCCTGCTCCACAGGAAGCCTGCTTCTCCCTCTCCGACTCCCCTGCTTGTGTTCCCTCTCTCGCTGTGTCTCTCTCTGTCAAATAAATAAATAAAAATCTTAAAAATAAAAAAAAAGAATTGTTTTCAAATTTGTAGGAAGGAAAGCACATCCTGGGTGTGTGAAGAGATAAATGTAGAGCCAGGAATAACAGTTAAGAAAGTAGGCAAATGGGGCACCTGGGTGGCTCAGTCGTTAGGCGTCTGCCTTCGGCTCAGGTCATGATCCCAGGGTCCTGGGATCGAGCCCCGCATCGGGCTCCCTGCTCGGCAGCAAGCCTGCTTCTCCCTCTCCCACACCCTCGCTTGTGTTCCCTCTCTCACTTTCTCTGTCAAATAAATTAATTAATTAATAAAAATCTTAAATAAAAATCTTTTTTTAAAAAGATGAATTAGAGAGACTATTAATCTTGTTTTTTTTAAATATTTTTATTTATTTGAGAGAGAGAGCACGAGCGGGGGTGGGGGGGGAGAGAAGGCTCCCCACTGAGCGTGGGCCTGAGGTGGGGCTCGACCCCAGGACCCTGAGATCATGAGCTGAGCTGAAGTCAGATGCTTAGCCAACAGAGCCACCCAGGTGCCCTGAGGCTTATAATTCTTGAGGTTAGGTTTGGAGGATGCATCAGCTAAGAGAACAAAAGCACCAAAGTATCCCGGGCAAAGGGGATGACATCAAGGA